TGACACTTTGCTATTATTATTATTATTATTATTATTATTATTATTATTATTATTATTATTATTATTATTATTATTATTACCACCATCACCCATTGCAGGATGAAAAGTTGCAAAAGCTACACAGTGCCAGTCGTAGCATCAGAAGCTATCTGTCTAGAGAAGACAGCTTCTTCTGTCTGCTACTTGTTTAAGAGGCACCATAAAACCCTCTTCCAGATTCCTGTTTGAAAAAGTATATGCACTGTGTAGTTATGTCAGTTTGATCCCATGTAACTCTGCTAAGGGGATTCTAGGATTTGGTGTTTGGTGAACCTCCCAAACACCTATGCCACAGAACTTTAGATAATCTTGAATTATTATTGCAGATAACTCCAAACACCTTACTAAACTTCCAGACTTCTCAGGTTGAAGGCCCAACAACCAAAGGGGCATCAAAATAACAGGATTATGTAGTGCTGACATATAGGGAGGACCCTAGAATCCTTACAAGAAAAAGAGTGTTAAAATGGTACACACTGGAAAAGTAATACTAAAGGAGTGTCCAATGGAGAGACATTCATTTGCATGTACCAAAACCAAGCCATGTTGAAATGCAGGTGTGGTACTGAGTCCATTTTTGGGGTACTGTGAGTGCTATCCAGCTTTTGGTCTGCAATTTATGGGAGCTGTCCAAGGTGCTTAATCTCGACCTCAACTAGGTTTGGAACCTGGACAATCAAATCATGCTGGGAAAGGGGGAAGGCAGCAGGAAAAGAGGAAGGCCAAATCTGAGATGGACCAAGTCTCTAAAGGAAGCCATGGACTTGAGTTTACAAGAGCTGAGCAGGGCCATTGAAGACGTGACATTTTGGAGGTCACTCATTCATAGAGTTGGAAGTGACTTCATGGCACATAACAAACAAAGAATGAATGAATAAACAAATAAATACAGTGGTGCCTCGCTTAATGGCGATAATCCGTTCCAGGAAAATCGCCGTTAAGCGAAAACATCGTAAAGTGGAAAAAAAAACATTGAAACCCCTTCAATGCGTTCCAATGGGGTCAAAACTCACTGTCCAGCGAAGATCCTCCATAGGGCAGCCGTTTTCGCTGCCTGTCTTGCGAGGAATCTGTCCCAGAAAACTGTGGGGAGCCATTTTGTTTACCCGGCAGCCATTTTGAAACCGCCAATCAGCTGTTTTAAAATTATCATTTTGCAAAGAATCGGTTCCCAAAGCAGGGATCATTGCAAAGCGAAAAAACCCCATTTAGACCATCGTTTTGTGATTGCAATTGCAATCGCAAAAAGATCATCCTAATGCGGTTTCGTCATAATGCGGGGCAATCGTAAAGCGAGGCACCACTGTATTAGTATTCCTTTCCTGCTTGGTTCTCTTGTAACAGAGGATTGGAGATAGGAGTCCCTGGCATGCGCGCGCGCATGCACATGCACATGCACACGCACACACACACACACCATCTCCCATATCCTTTACACTACTCTAGCATCTGACTCATCCCTATGTTTCGGGGGGATCCTTTTGCATGCTCTGTTAACACTAAACAGAGAAGCACGATCTCCCATTAAAGCAGAGGAAAACCTCAGTACTGTAAAAGGATTTTTCAATGAAACTAAAGAAGGCGGAAGTGAAGCCCATTTGTCATTTAAGTGTTGAGGTCCCAAACAGCAGTTCTAATACATTTCGTAGTCTTCCTCGTCCTCTGACTCCTCCTCCACCTTCAGTACAGGGTGAGAGTAGATCACGGTGAGGATGCCAATCATGCCAGCCACCAGCGTTCCTCCAATGAAGACTGACAAAGCGATCAAACCCAGTGCTAAGAAACCCATTAAGTCAAAATGCAGAAAGCACTCTTGATGGACCTGATCTTCTGCCTTAAAGATTTGCCATCCTTCAAGGTTTGGCGGTGTTTTGCAAGTAATATTTTCACGGTCTGCAGAAGAAAAACACACAAAGGTAGTCAAGGTCTCCATTGTAAGCCATTCATAGAATCATAGAATAAATGAGTTAGAAGGGACCTCTAAGGCCATGACAGACGGTTGTCCAATTTTCTCTTAAATGCCTCCAGCATCGGAGCACTCATCATCTCTCAAGGTGATTGGTCCCGTTGTTGTACTGCTCTAACAGTTAAGTTTTTCATGATAGTCAGCCGAAATCTGGCTTCCTGTAGCTTCAGCCCATTATTATGTGTCTTGCCCTCTGATATGATCAAGAACAGATTCTGACCCTCTTCTGGATGACTACCTTTCAAGTATTTGAAAAGTGCTGTTGTACTTTTCTCAAAGGCTAAACATGCTCAGTTCTTTCAGTCTTTCTTCCTAGGCCTTCGTTTCCAGTCCCTTGATCACCCTTATTGCTCTCCTCCGAATTTGTTGTATCCAGCCCACACTTAACTAAGTTGCTAATATAGTGGGGCAGTATGCCAAAGGCTTTATTGAAATCATGATATGTCTACAGCATTCCCACTATCTACCAGGGTGGTTACCCGATCAAAAAAATGAGATAAGATTAGTCAGGCAGGATTTCTTCTTAACAAATCCATGCTGGCTTCTAGTTATTGCTGCATTGTTTTCAAGGAGCTTGCAGAACGACTTTCTTCAAGACCATTTTTGGTACAGATATGCCTTACAGACAGACAGACAGACAGACAGACAGATAGACAGACAGACAGACAGACAGACAGACAGACAGACAGACAGACAGTATATATATAGTGAATATGGCAAACATGTCATGCAGAGGAGGGGCAGGATCTGTTCTTGATCATCCAGAGTGCAGGACACACAACAATGGGCTCAAGTTACAGGAAGCCAGATTTCGGCTGAATATCAGGAAAAAACTCCTGTTAGAGCAGTACGACAGTGGAAACAGTTACTTCAGGAGTTGGTGAGTGCTCCAACACTGGAGGCATTCAAGAAAAACTTAAAACAACCGCCTGGCAGATATCCTTTGATTTATATTCCTGCATTGAGCAGGGGGTTGGCCTAGAAGGCCTCTTCCAACTTAACTATTCTGTGATTCAAGGGTCTGTAAAATGAGAGCTGTTGCCATTTAGCTTGAGAGGGGTTCTGTGACAGAGACAAATAAGTGCCATCCGAAATCTGGATTTTGCCATGGAAGTTCGAACGCCTGAAGTGCCCATAAAACATTTATGCAAGTAGCCATAGACATGGAAGTGAGTTAAGGGAGCAACCCAGTGAATAAGAAGCAACTTCATAGAACTCTGAGGAAGAGATTTATCTATTCTCAAAAGCCTTTTTGAGCTGTCTTGGCTTAGATTTGGGGAAATAAGTTAAAACAACTGCTCTAATGGCATAGAACCCTAAATAGAATTCTAAGAAAACTTCACCACTAGCTGTGCTGGTCCGGATATCTGGGAGTTGTAGTCCAAGAACATCTGGGGACCCAAGTTTAAGAAACCCCGGTCTACATGATATTTCCCAAAAATATAACTTTGCTTTAGATCCATTAAGGAAAACTGATCTTATTTAACTGGTATCCATATAGTCAACATAACTTTATTTTCATTTATTTATTTATTTATTCTATTTATATCTCTCCTATCTGGTCAGTTATACAGACATTATGATTCCAGATAGCCACAGAGTTGAATGACATTCTTTTCTTTATGAAAAAGAATGACTTAGCTAGTGTCGCTCAAGTTTTCCCTGGATGTTATCAGTAAGACGTTAAGGAGGCTTTGCATTAAAAAAATAGTTCTCCTTCGTTCTTGCATTATTTCCTGTGCCAGGCTGAAAAGAGTCTAGGACGGAGGTAGGTGTACTTAGTTTCCATGTGATAGAATGGATTAAATGGTATTGGTGTTTGGGTAAGGCCTGTGTAACTTGCTGTAGCTAATTGTGGCTAATTGACAAGGTGCTAAACTCCATTGTGCAGTTGCGCAATCAAGCCACATGACCACAACGTGACCCAGCACCTTCTCAAATTAGCTACAGTTATCCACAGGGAGTTATTAAAACCTTACTCGAATGCCAAAAAGGATTGGGCTGACGTCTCAAGATGTAATAAACATGAACTTTTAAAAGTTTTTTTTTAAAGGAATAGAAGTGGAGTTACTCCCACAAAACGTCCCCACCTATTAGTTCCACCCGAGGGGTCGCGTGATGACTATGAAGGGTCTGCCGCAGCCAGCTGCAGAATTCCAGAAAGCTGCAGTTACAATCCCAGGGGTTCCCCCTGATTCCCAAAGTGTGAAGGTTGTTGAGACTGCCGAACACTTCCACACTCATGGCCTCCAAGCCGCAGTAGCTCAGATCCACGTAGCTGAGTAAAGAGTTTTTGGCAAAGGCCTGCACATTAATCTCCTTGATCATCGGATTCCCGGAGAGGTTCAGAAACAGCAGCCTCTTCAGCTCAGAGAATGTCTGGGGCGTGATGATGGTCAAGAGGTTGTAACTGAGGTCCAGGTACGTCAGCTTCTCTAAGGCGGGAAAGTGGAACTTCTCGTCCATTTGTATCGCGTTGAAGCTACAATCCAGATGGACCAGTTCCACAAAATAGCTCATTTCTAACTGCGAAAACTCCGTGAGGCGGTTCTGAGGTAAAATCAGCTCCCTGGTAGTCAGGGGAACTCCCCTGGGAAAGTGGAGCATCCATCTTCTTGTGCAGTCCACTCTGAGCCGAGAACATTGGCACTGGGGAGGGCAGCCGGACCCCTTTTCTACCCACATCAGAAAAATCACCCACAAGGCCGTCCGGTGACCACAGGGGAGCCCAAGGAGAGCCCTCATCCTGCGCCCCCCTGCTTTACTTCAACTGCAGGAGGAAGGGGCTGGGCTGGTTTTAAGTGGTTGTATGTGAGCTTTATGACATCAGCTGCCTGGGCCACAAATCTGGAGAGACAATCTGCCTGTTGGTAAGTCTGATCCTCTGCCTGCCTTTGTGGTCCCCAGTCTGGGAAGGAGACTGACATCAAGCGATGCCCGAGAGGATGTCTTTGGTGATTCGAGTTTTGAAATGCCCTCACCACTCAGAGCTTGGCTCCCTCTCTTTACCTCTCTCTACTTGGGTGCCCCCCAGATCTGTGGGAGTACAATTCCCATCTCTGAACCACTATCCTCCTTGCTTATACCTTCACTGCCTTTCCTTTCTTGCTCAAATTTCTCCAGGAGACTGGAAGCCAGAATTAACCCTTTGGGGCACAGGAAACCAGGGTAGAGAAGCCTGTGTGTGTGTGTGTGTGTTCCTGGACGCCTAAGGTTTTGACAGGGGCCAGGGGTGCATTTTCACAATTAAAACTAGTGTGCCAGCTTCGACCGTTCCTTGAGAGCTCTGATCCAGCCATGGTGACACATGCCTTAGTAACACACACTCTATGTGGGGCTGCCGACAGAAAGAGTCTGGAAAGGTTGGCGGGTCCAAAAGGCAGCAGCCAGACTGCAGACTGGAGGTGGGCACCGGGATCAAACAACTCCCCTCATTACGGCAGCTCCTCTGGCTGCCCATCAGTTTCCAGACAGAAATCAAAGTGTTGGCTTTAACCTATAAAGATCTAAGCTGCCTTTCTATACTCATTGTTTTTAGCTTTAAATATTGCCTTTCAATGATGCAAGCCTCCTTAGGTTTTTTCTAAGTAGAACGGCAGGGTTAAAATAATTTAAACCAAACAAAATAAATAAAAAATAAACTTGCTAACTTTTTCCTCTCACTAGAAGTACACTTCACCCGTGCCTTAGGACCAGTGAACCCTCCCTCCCTCTCACTGTTGTTAATCCGTGATATTCAATGTGCCCTGAAAAGATTAACAAACAAACCACTCAGATACTGAGATTTTCTCTGTACAGTTTAAAAGGACCTCAGCTGAAGCAGAAAATCCATCCAGTAAATTCCAGTGAAGGAACAACCTGGTTACCCGCCCCAGGAGACAATGGTCTGCAAAGGGCAGCTCTTCAATGAGAGCCATACGAGAAAGGAATGCTCCTGCTGGAAAGGACTTTTGCAAAGCAAATCAATGGCCTTCCGGTTTTCCAAGCCTTAGACATGTCTTTCCTTTGAGAAATAATGGGAGCACGGCTCATAAGGAACTGTTTAAATCAAAAATATAATGTCTGTAGAGATTTAGCAACACTAAAGGAAGACTCAAGACCTTTTTATAATGGAAACATTTTATTTTTTAAAAAATTCAAAAGTGGTACATGCCGATGCTCCTTATACCCAGGGAGGCGCAATAAAATACCCTATACAAGGTTCATGGTAAAAAAAAAAATTAAGCAAGAGGGACAAGGCCCAGAACCCACACTCCAGGTTGAGAGAGTTACTGACAGTTGAGAGTGTGGAAGTTATTTTCCATAAGTACCGTATTTTTCCGTGTATGAAACGACACTTTTTTGTTCGAAAATTTGAGGGTCGTTTTATACATGGAAGGAAGCAGTCGCACAAGCGTGCTCAGGAGCCTCTTGCTGCCGCCCAATTGTCTCTTCCAGAGCTCACGGTTTGTCCCCTCCGGTGGCCGAGGTGGCGGCAGCAGCAGGAGGCAGAGGTGGAGGCGAAGGAGCACTCACATGCGCTGTCAGAGACGGAGGCAAAGGAGCATTCACATGGGCTGTGGCGCCTCTTCCTGCCTCGTTAGCGAAAAGGAAAGGGAGCAACGGCTCCCCTTCCTTTTTTGCTAAAGCCCTGCCCTTCTCGCCTTTTGAGAAGACACGGACAGGAGCAATGGTTCCCCTTCCTTTTTTTGTTAAACTCTGTGCCTCCGTGGCTTAAACTCACGTTGACAGCCGCTTTCCTTGCCTTTTGCCAAGGCACAGGGCTTAGCAAAAAGGGAGCCCTTTGATCCCTACTTTTTAAAATTTGGGGTTAGAAAAAGGGGAGTTTGTCTTATACTTTGGGTCGTCTTGTGAACAGAAAAATATGGTATTTCATTCCTATTACTCACTAACATCAGTCGAAAAATTCTTCTACATTACAACACTGGAAAAGGATTTTGTTACATTATCTTGTCCACTGCTCATTGTTTTTTCTAATTTTCTGTAAGTTTGGGGAGGAAAAGACTCCTTATTGATAAGGTAAGAAACAATGTTTTTTTACAAAACAACTATTTCAAAGTATTTCAAAATGCCTGCCAGATATAACTTTTGATATAACTTTTGAAAGGCACCTGAAGGGACACCCATTACAACAATGTACAACTCCCATTCTACAAGACTTTTGAAAAGTAACATTCAATATTGTGCTTACCCAGAACAGTATTTAGTTACAGAGAACTATCTTGCCTAAAGCTAGTTACTGCCAACTCTAGATTCTAAGGACCCTTTCCATCTCTCCATTTGCAAATAGTGTCATTTCTTCCATCACTGTTCAATCCAATTATACCTTTAAAAAAAAAATTTCTCAAATTCATTTTCCTAATTGCAACGACCTGAACTTTTCACTGGCAGGTTTCCTAAGAAATATCCATTGGGATTTCATCTGAAATTTCGAGCTAAATATACTTGGGAGTCCCAGCCCTAGAACGAATAGGGTTTGCTTAAGTGTTGAACGCAACATTGGGCAATTGATTCAATGGACTTACTCTAAGTCAGTGGTTCCCAACCTTGGGTCCCAAGATGTTCTTGGACTACAACTCCCAGAATCCTTCATCACTAGGTGTGCTGACCAGGATTTCAGGGAGTTATCCTCCAAGAACTTCCAAGGATCTGAGTTTGGGAACCACAGCTCTAGAGGGACCAGCCACTGGGCCTTTCCAGCTGTAGTATATTCAAAATACAGTAGGACCCTGCTATCCGTGGGTTCAGTATCCACTGGTTAATTTATCTGCTGTCTCAAAATCCTAAATACCTCCACCGAACACCTATTTCTACGCATATCCAGAGTGCATCTACCACAACTGGCCACTACAGGCAGACGATGAAATTTACAGTGTTTAATACAGTGGTGCCTCACATAACGAGCGCACCGTTTAACAACTAATCCGCATAGCGACGCATTGCAATATTTAGATAGGCTAAACACTGCATTGCGATGATCAGTAAGCGTTTCGCTTACTGATCTTCGCATTGCGATGTTTAGAAAACAGCTGATCAGCGGTTCCAAAATGGCCGCCGGATCAGCAAAATGGCTGCCCACAGCATTTTCGCGCCCTGCCTTCGCTTACTGGGAAGCGAAAATGGCAGCCAGATGGGGGAATCTTCGCTTACC